TACATTGTGACTTTTCTTCTTTGCTTATGTCTTCAATAAAAAAAGTTACAAAAATAGAAACGCTTGCGTTAACTTCAAGCATAACAATTACAAAGGCGGACTCCATCGTGTTTCTGCAAATGTTTCTCTTGGCTTTGTGATCCTTTGTTATGGTCAGAAAAGATGTTTAGAACACATCTAAACCCGGCCCAGCCCCCGACGTAAGCATGAAGTGGTAAAAGAACGGTTCTAGTCCAGCAAAGTGTTGGCGCCGCTTTGGAACCAGTTCTCCTGGCCGAGAACCGGTTCTTTGGCTGTCGAAACACAAAGAACTGGTTCACGCGCAGGCACCGGCTCCGAACCGGCTCTCAAAATGCTTTGGTGGAAAAGGGGCTTGTGAAGCCCTCACTGTTATCCTCAGATCCACATCATAGTAGCCGAAGTAGACCAACTCTGGTGACCACCAGATTCAGAACTAGATCAGGGAATAGTCCCGGAATAGATAAGGGACTTCAAGAAATGTATTCGAGTCTCAATCTCAACTCTGAGATGGTCATGTTCCAGTGAGAACACAGCTCAGCGTGCTTAAGACCCAGACATTCGAGACAATGATTGTTGCGGTCCCTAATATAAATGTCTAGGATTCAAGGGACACATAACATAAGAGATGGACAACATATTTATAAAAGTATATGTTACAACACAAACAACTCACAAGAGTAACCAAAAATGACAGATGGGGAACTCAGCAAAAGAGGAAAAAGAAAGACAACCCAACTAATAAAGTAAAGCTGAGACTCCCCGCTCCTAACTAAAGTTACAAACTAAGAGTAAAAGGTAAACATTATGAAATGGTGTTGAACAAGCTGGCGTCCTGCCAAGAGCCGCCTCCTTCCCCAATTCATCCAACAGGAAACTAAGTAAGATTGAAGAAACATGACAACTTTACTACAAACAATCATTGGAGGACTCTGGGCCGGAGCGGTTGCGAGACATGCGTAACAGTGATTATGACCAGCAGGAGCCAGATGAATACTGCATCCAGAAACACATGGGTGGAAGGACATTGCTCTTTAAGGAATTTGCTCTCTCTGGTGCTGAAGCTCGCAGGGGAGATGGTCGCAGCACCCAAGCAGGAAATAATGCAGCCAGCTGTGTACTCTCACAACTCATTGAAGGTGCAAACTCTCTGAAGGGCTGTGGAAACAGCTGTTAGAAATGCTCTTTTGAAGTAGCTATCTCCTCTGAGAGCACCATCACACCAATACCAACCGAGAGACACCTTCCAGGAAAAACAGCAGACTCGTAGAACTACACTTGTCTGTGAATTTGGCAGAGCAGAACACATGCAGGGCCCGGCACTGAAGCGAAAGGCAAATATGCGATGTACCAGCTTCCATATTTATACTCGCGCTGCAGGGCAGAGTGTGCAATGTGCATTGGCTCGTTTAGTTACACTCGAAAGTGGATTGGTCTCTCAAGTGAGATCCCAATACGTCAGTGTTGGGATCAACTTGAGCCAACGTGATATCGGCAGTGAACGACTGATAAGGAATTGCACTGGAAACAGGCTAACAACTCAAATACAACTAGAAAGAGACATAGCGGTAACATTTGTTCATCAAGATTAGGGTTGGGTATCGAGAATCGAGTATTGATTGGAACCGAGACTAACTTTTTGTTTTTCCCGGAATCGTTCAAAAGTTAAAATTTCGATTCCTAGTTTCGATATTCACAGTCCGCCGAGCGGAAGAAGAAACCGCTGAACAACACCGAAGAAGCGTCTACCGGAAGTGTTGGCATAACCACGCGAGTCGAACATGAGTACCTTACGTCGGAGATCCAAAGTGTGGCTTCACTTTTCTAAAAATAACGAAATCTCGTCAAAATGCAAAATTTGTGACAAAAGGAGTATTTTTACAGAAGGAGTATTTCCTTCAGAATGGATTTTTTCCTTCAGAAAGACCGTTGGTTAGCAAGGTTAGCTAAACTTTTTTGACCCTGCCTCTTAAAAGAATCAGAATCGAGAATCGTTAGGAACCGGAATCGAAAAAAGGAATCGCAATCGGAAACAGAATCGTTCAAATTCAAACGATACCCAACCCTAAGCAAGATATTTGAATGACGGCATCTGAAAACTAAGGGCATACATGTTTTGGTAGATCTTTATTGTGCAGCCCTGTTCCGCATGTGCATACTATGTATTTACAGCCCGTTCTCATCCCAAGGCGTCATATACTGACGCTTTTGACATTTCGTCTACATCCAACGCACATGGCACCCTTTAGCGTCAATATGAGACGCAGATATATATGGGCCAGAAGGCGCCTCCTAGTGGTCTAACCCTAAACCTATGCTAGAACTAAACCTACCATAACCGAACAAAGCTCTGTGTGTGTTATATTGACGCTAAAGGGTGCCAATGTGAGTTGGATTTAGACGAAATTTCAAAAGTGTCACTATATGACACCCTAGGATGAGAACGCGTTGGTATTTATGACAGTAATTACAATAGCGGGGTAATAGGTACTAACCCTGAACCTACCACTAAACCTTACCTTAACCCATGTAGTTACATTATTACATGTTTTCTTTGATAATGTCATTGAGGAGCATTCTGGTCAAAGTTACTGTGTATACAGTTGTTGTATTGTAGTTTATGTTTGAGTCAGAGGGTTTGTGGAAAATCTTTGAACTCACACAGTCAGTATCTTCAGATAAGATGATGAGCTTTAATGGTATCCTGTGATGCTGCTGGGTCCAAGCAAAAAAAAAAAAAAAAAAAAAAAAAGTGTAATTCTGGATAAGAATAAATTTGGAAATCCCATGTTTGCTATCCAGGATCAGGTAATCCATTTTACTTTTGTGCCGGTTTTTTAAACAAATCAGGGTTGGATGACCCCGATCCATATACAAACTTTTCAGATTACCAAAGAGAAAGAAAACAACAAACAAATATCCCCTTCCATTTTCAATTTCCTTTAAACAATCAGACCCCAATAGGGGCATGCACTAAATGGACATGGTTATGGGGGAAATAGGAAATAGGTGAAAAAAAAATATATTTGAATGCATTTTGATTGCGTTCTCTTTACTTAAGACGACGTGGCCAGGCCAATACTGTGGCTTGTACAGTTACTGCAGCCCAAAGTGAGATATAGAGAATTATCCAACATCTCTTACATCTTCAGTCCACTGTGCCACAGTTCTGACGAGTGGAATCTATTTTAAAGTAAAACAGCAAATTGTTCAAGATGAGTTGAGATGCCTTGAAGTTTTTTACTGTGAACCATTGCTGTCCTCTGGTGGTCAACAGTAACAACACTTGGTGGGAGGGAAAGAAGGATATCTGAGATTTAAAAAAACAATCATTGTAAATTCAGACTGGACAATAGAAATTACAAATGTCGATGTATTTTATTTTTTTCTGGTCTGATCCCTTAAGAAGCCTATGGAGGAGTGATCCAGCTCTCAGATTTAATCAAAAATATCTTAATTTGTGTTCCAAAGATCATGAACAACATGAGGATGAGTAATTACTGACAGAATTTTCATTTTGCGGTGAACAAACCCTTTAAGAACAGTGATTTTACAGATATGATTTTACTGATAATAAGCCTATACATGAAAGACATTTACAACATTGTAAAATAAATGATGAATGCATGATAAAGGTCTCTAAATAAGTTTTAATATGACCTAAATTTAGCAAATAGACAAAATCCACATGCTTAGATTTAGTTCTTGCACGGTATAGGCTATTGTGTTTTTAAAGCACATGCAGTGAACAAACAAAGGTTCACAACACAACGGAAATGCAACTTGGTTTGATTTTGTACATTTATAACCAATGTAGTCAATATAGTCTGTTTTTGATTTATTTTCAGTAAAAGTTCTTGCTCAACACTGCCCTCTTGTGGCCAGGAGGCGTTTTCTTTGTGTTGTGGATTCACTCTTTTCTTTCAACAGAAATAAAACTAATTCCAAAAGCATAAACAAAGCCAGCAGGAAACATGAAAACATTATTTCCATCCATTTCCATTATTTTCTTGTCATATATTTCTGATTCTAGGACAAATTATGAAAATGAAAATCTCACATGTATAATTATTGTTTTTTTTTAATTACGTGGCCCTAAACAGCATACATTTATGTATAAATCAATATCAAGCTCTCAGTTACACTGTTGGCCTGAATATTAGCACATATGTATAATTATAACCATATTTATAAGCTTTATACTTTAAGACATCACGTGATATCCAGAATGCATCGAGCTAGCGGCAAAAATGACGGATTATTTATGAATTATGGACTTCAAGAGTATCAAAGTTGGACATAAATCATTGGATTTATTGCTGAAATCCTCTGAAAGGAAGCAAGCAAAGGAAGTTCCAGGCTGGATAGAAAACCTTCTGTAAAGGCTAGAAAGACACCACAGACATCCCCGTGATGGCTAGCTCGTTAGCTTTCTGCTGGAAAAAACGGTAAGAAAATCGATCAATCTGTCATCGAGTTATGTAAACATTTATCGGAGGTGACGTGTGGCGTCGTCGACGATGCCGTCGGGCTCTGAGAGTTGTGTTACTTTATATTTTCATGTAACAGTGTTTGTGTTGAGTCTTAAGGGTGTTCGAAATCCATATCTTGAAGATTTTGTCGGTCTGTACCTTGAAATTGTTTCAAGTCGTCTCCGTTTCTTGCATGAACAAACATCTAAGAGTCCTTAAAAAGTGACAAAGTGAAATCAGATTTAACATTAAACGAGTAGTTCTGACAAAAACATTATTTATTCACCCACTTTTCATGGTTTTGTTCTTTCTGTAATATAACAGCTCTAGTCACCAAAGAGCTGTAACTGCAATAGCTGTTAAAATATCCTTTATAAAATGTAAAATAGCATACTGATATTATAGTGAGAATTCAAGAGCACAATGTCCACGTTTGGAGACATACATGTATAATTTCACTAAAGATCTCGCCTATGATCACAATGATCAGAACAGCGTTCAACAGAGCAGATATGAGGATAATAATCTGCCAATGTGTCTGATTCCTCTCAATGATCTTCACCGCTGTCTGATTCTGGATCTCTGCAGTCGGAGTTGGTCCTGTGTATTCATTGAAGGGGTTTAATATTAATATTTCACATGCATTTGTGTAACAGTGATTAAGTGTTTAGCTTGATGATCACTGAATGTTCACTCACCGCTGATGTGTATTCTGGTGCCGTCGCTGTATTTTGGAGCGTCTCTGGTCACACAGTAATAAAGTCCTAAATCATCAATAGTGACATTATTTATGAATAGATGAGGGTTTCTTTGCACTGAATATTTTTGTCTAAATCTATTATTGTAGTAATGAGGAGTTGTAGATGAGAAAGAGGACAATTTTCACAGAACAGAAGGGCACAGACAGGTGAGTTTGAACAGAGTTTATTGATTACGGATAACAAAGGTAAGTAGCGTGGTAGTTGAAGTTGGAGATGGAATGTAAACAGTCTGATGATGGTTTTCTTATCTGAATAGAACCGGAAGGTCGGAGAGCTGACGGGAGCAATGGAGAGAGGATCGGAGCTGGAGACAGGAGCGGACTGGAAGCGGACGGGGACCAAGGACTAGCACTGGCGGCAGACTGACAGGCTGGAGAATCAATGCAGGTAAGTGAAAGCAGTAACGTGGAATAGCGATAGGGAGTCTGTAGTCGTGGTAAAGACGAGACCAGACAGTGAGTGACTGAATGAGGTGAGTATATATGGAGTGAATGATAGTCCGGATAAGTGATGGCAGGTGGTGACGGCAGGTGGTGATGATTAGTAGTCAGGGGAACCGGAACGAGTAGGTGGAGTGAAGGTATCTGGTGCTGACGCCGACGGATCCGTGACAGTACCCCCCTCCCCCCCCCACGGCCAGCACCAGCTGGCGGGCGGGACCGACGACGGGGACGACCACGGCCCCTGGGTGCAGGACGATCTGGATGGGCCGAATGGAAGTCCTGGAGTAGGGTGGGATCCAGAATGTCCTCCCGCTGGACCCAGCATCTCTCCTCCACACCAAATCCTTCCCAGTGGACGAGGTATTCCAGCAGGCCGCCCCGTCGCTGGGAATCGAGGATTTCGTGCACTCGGTAGATGTTGTCGTCCTCCGGATCTGTAGGAGGAGGGGGCACGTCCGCAGCACCAGACCCTGGGGAGGAAGAAGTGAGAGGATTAGCATATGGTTTGAGAAGGGAAACGTGGAAGATAGGTGCAATGCGGTAATGAGCGGGCAGTGATAGTCGATAGGTGACGGGGTTGATCTGCCTCTGTATGGCGAACGGACCGATGTATCTGGGACCAGTGATGGACTGCTGGAACGTCTGATGGTTCTCCGGATCAGGGAAACAGAGGAGGTTGGTAGCCGAGTATGCACTGGAAGGGGGTGAGTCCTGTGGTGGATTGGCGGAGAGAGTTTTGTGCATACTCTGCCCACGGCAGGTAGCGACTCCAGCAGTCCTGGTGGTCGTGGCAGTATGACCGTAGATATCTCCCGATTTCTTCCGCTCAGTCTGGCCGTTGGACTGGGGGTGGTACCCCGACGTAAGGCTGACGGAAACGCCCAGGAGATTGAAGAAGGCCTTCCACACTCGGGAGATAAATTGTGGACCTCTGTCAGACACGACATCCTCGGGGATTCCAAAGTTCCGGAAGACGTGGTGGAATAGGGCTTCGGCGGTCTCAAAGGCTGTGGGTAACCCGGGGAGAGGAATCAGTTTGCATGCTTTGGAGAAGCGGCCGACTACCACGAGAATGCAGGTGTGATTGTTGGAACTGGGAAGGTCGGTGACGAAGTCGACACCCAGATGGGACCAGGGTCGAGTGGGAATTGGTAGGGGGATGAGTTTGCCTTCGGGAAGATGACGGGGAACCTTGGCCATGGCACAGACTGAGCATCCCCTGACGTATCGGGAGACATCCTGGGCCATACCCGGCCACCAATAACGTTGTTGGACGAGCGAGAGAGTTAATTGGCTGCCTGGGTGTCCAGAGCCCGGGGAGGTATGTACTGAGTCCATGAGGGACAGGCGTAGGCGGGTCGGGACATAAACCCGTCCCTCTGGACCTCCTGGCGGAGCAGGTTCAGATTGGGTGGCTTCGGCGATGTGATCATCCATACTCCACTGAATGGGGCTTACGACGACGGCTGGAGGGAGGATGGTCTCGGGACTGAGAGGAGGAGAACTGGGCTGGAACTGTCGTGATAGAGCGTCTGCTTTTACATTCTTGTGTCCAGGACGGTGGGTGACGGAGAAGTTAAAGCGGGTGAAGAAGAGGGCCCAGCGGGCTTGACGGGGGTTGAGTCTTCTAGCCTCACGGAGGTATTCGAGGTTCCGGTGATCGGTGATGACGGTAAAAGGATGTTGAGCCCCCTCCAGCCAGTGTCTCCATTCTTCTAAGGCCAGTTTGATCGCGAGCAGCTCTCGATTGCCGATATCATAATTCTGCTTAACCGGGGACAGTTTTTTGGAGTAGAAGGCACATGGATGGAGTTGCAATGGAGTGCCCTGCCGCTGGGAAAGAACCGCTCCTACCCCGGAGGTAGAGGCGTCCACTTCAACGATGAAGGGTAGAGCTGGATCGGGAAGGGAGAGGGTAGGAGCGGAACTGAAGGCCCGTTTCAAGCTGTCAAACGCCCGTGTGGCGTCGGTGTTCCAGGACAGAGACTTAGCCCCGCCCTTGAGGAGGTTTGTGAGAGGGAAGCAGGTCTGACTGAAGTTTTGAATGAAGCATCGGTAGAAGTTAGCAAACCCAAGAAACCGTTGGAGGTCCTTCCGGGAGGTGGGTTGTGGCCAGTTGTTGACGGCATCCACCTTCCTCTGGTCCATGGTTATGCCGCGGGGAGTGATGAGGTAGCCCAGGAACTGAACGGTGTCTTGATGGAATTCACACTTCTCTAGTTTCAGAAAGAGTAGATGATCTCTTAAGCGTTGGAGTACGGTTTGGACATGGCGGATGTGAGTGGGCAGATCTGGAGAGTATATGAGGATATCATCGATGTAGATTATGACAAATTGGTGGAGTAAGTCTCTAAATATCTCATTCATAAATCCCTGGAACACGGCGGGTGAGTTAGACAATCCGAAGGGCATGACGAGGTACTCGTAGTGCCCCGCAGGGGTAATGAAAGCGGTCTTCCATTCGTCTCCTTCACGGATGCGGATGAGGTTGTAGGCACTACGGAGGTCGAGCTTGGAATAGACGGTAGCCCCACGGAGTCGTTCTAGAGCTGCGGGGACCAGAGGAAGAGGATAGCGGTACTTGATGGTGGATTGATTGAGTACTCGATAGTCGATGCAGGGGCGCAAGCCTCCGTCCTTCTTGCCCACGAAGAAGAAACTTGAGGCGGCAGGGGATGGACAGAGGATAGATCTTACCTCGCGGTAGTACCGCCCCAGGCAGCAGATCGATCGCACAGTCCCATGGCCGGTGTGGTGGTAAGGTGGTTGCCAGCTGTTTATCAAAGACATCCTGGAACGCCGGGTAAGGAAGAGGAATTTCCGGGAGAAACTCGGTAGGGGGACTCTCCACGGAGGTGGCGGACAGAGGGATTTTCTGGACTGGAGCGGATGGGCGGTTAGATGGTTTGGGAATGGTAGGCAGGCAACGATGGTGGCATTCTTCACCCCACTGTAAGACCTCTCCGGTGGACCACTGGATATGCGGTGAGTGGAGTTCTAACCAAGGGCGTCCCAGGATGATCTCGGCCGTCGAGCCCTCCAGCACCAGGAATGAAATAGCCTCTTTGTGAAGCCAGCCGATCTCCAACCCAAGATCTGGGCTGCGGTGTCCGATCCGGCCCCGGCCAAGAGGTTTTCCCACGATTGACTGGACGTGAAGGGTGTGAGGGATGGTACGTTGCCTGGTTTGGAGCCGATGGAGAGTGGTGAGTGAGATGAAGTTACCGGCGGATCCTGAATCAATTAGCGCTTGAACTGGAAGGGAACGGTTCATATAAGTGATAGTAGCAGATGTCTTCACATTCGAGATGGATAGGGGTAGTTGAACAGTACTCACTGCGGGTCGGGGTGGACGAATGGGACAGGTGGATAGCATGTGTCCAGCAGCTCCGCAATACAAACATAAGCTGTTGGTTATGCGGCGGTTTCTCTCGGAGATCGGTAGGCGGGCGGACCCTATCTCCATCGGTTCTGGTGCTGGAGGACTGTAAGCAACAGATGGGCGAGGAGGCGGAGGTGCAGGGCTATCTAGCTGGCAAGCAGTGCGGCGTTGATCTATGCGAATAGATCGCTGGATGATGCTCTCGATACCCACTGTGTCATCGTAGATGGCTAACTGAAGGCGAATGTCGGGGTTCAGACCGTGGCGATATGCGGTGATGAGGGCGGACTCATTCCATCCCAGTGTGGCGGCGAGGGTCCGGAACTGCAGGGCATATGAGGCAACTGATGATCTCCCTTGCTTCAAACGAAACAGCTGATCTTGCACCGAGATCGAGTCCACAGATTGGGAGAACACTTCCAGGAAATGACTGGAGAAAGTGGCGAATGTTCTGGTTACGGGCCCACGATCTTTCCATAGGGCATGAGCCCATTGTAGAGCCCGACCACGGAGAAGGGAAATGAAAAAGGCCACCTTCGATTGTTCAGTGGGGAACGAGGATGGAATCATTTGCATGTAGAGCTCGCACTGCAGAAGGAAGCCGTTGCACTCCTCCTCCTCGCCAGAGAAGGGCGCTGGTTGGACCATGGGACATACAGAGGCAGAGGCAGAGGAAAAGGCTACGGTGAAAGTAGCGAGGAGCAGGATGCACTGGTCCGGGAAGGGGTGATGTAGGCTGGGAACTCGTGGCCGTGGTGGTAGTGGGCGT